ACAAGTGAAGAACCTGAAAATGAAAACTTGAGAAACTCGGAGTCCAGTACCAGTGAAGAGATAATTAGTATAAATTCCAAAGAAAACGAACAAGAACTTGCAAGATTAGGGGAAGGAGAAAATTATCCAGAGACAAGTAGAGGAAGAAAAATAAAGCTGCCAGAAAGATTTAAAGATTATGTACTGGAAACAGAAAAAGAAGCATTATTAACATATCATAAAGCAACAAACGGACCCGAAAAGGAACAATGGACAAGTGCCATAAACGAAGAAAACACATTGTTAAAAAACAGTGCTTGGGTGTACATAGACAAAAATAAAGTGAAAAATAAGAAAATTCTGACGAGTACATGGGTTTTCCGAGTAAAAGATGATGGCAAATACAAAGCGAGACTAGTTATAAGAGGATGTCAACAAAGAAATGGTTTTGACTACAATGAAACGTTTAGCCCTATCATAAATACAACTCTTAGAATTTTATTTGCATTAAGTGCTAAAAATGACATAAAGATAACAAAATTCGATATAAAAATAGCATTTCTGTATGGGGACCTAGTTGAAGAAATATTTATGGAAATACCAGAAGGGTTCGAATGCAAAGACAACGAAAATAAAGTCTGTCAACTAAAAAAGGCTCAGTAGCAGTAGCAGTAGCCAAAGACAACGAAAATAAAGTCTGTCAACTAAAAAAGGCTCTGTATGGACTAAAACAAGCGCCTTTAAAGTGGAACGAGAAATTTAGTGGTTTCTTAAAATCAAATGGATTAATTTGTCTGAAAAGTGATCAGTGTCTGTTTACCAATAAACAGCGAATTTTATGTCTAGCGATATACGTAGATGATGGTATCGTGTTCAGCAGAGATGAAAAGGAACTGTTAAATCTAATGAAAAGTTTAAAACAACAGTTTGAAATGACAATGTGTGAAAATCCTGATAGATTTTTAGGAATAGATATTTCACAACAACCTGGTAAAATAAAATTAAGCCAAAGACACTATGTAGAATCAGTTCTGTGCAAATTTAATATGGAGAAAGTTAAAACAGTACCTACACCTATAATATCCAACAAATTGAACACCGAGATGAAAACTAAATTAAATTATCCTTATAGAGAGGCAATCGGTAGTCTCTTGTACCTATCAAATAAAACCAGACCCGACATTTCCTACCCAGTTAATTTTTGTAGCAGAAAAATAGAAGATCCCATGGACAAAGACGTTGTAAGTGTTTAAGTTAAGTATTTTTCGTTACTTAATTGGGTCAAAAGGTGATGGAATATGTTATGAAAATAATAATTCAAAGAAATTGACAGCATACTGTGACTCGGACTATGCGGGAGACTCTGCGACTCGTAGAAGTACTACTGGTTACATACCGTGCTTTCACGGGAAAACACTACATAGGAAGTGCATCGGTGAAACTCGTGCGGTGCGGCTTCAGCGGTCGGGATGTAGATCTCTGCGTGCGGCGCTGTAGCCTGTGGTCTACGTGATCACCAGAGAGCGGACAATTTGTGTCTTTAACCTTGAACATAGATATGTCATTCATAAACCTAGATACATTATCCATGACGCAGTGGCGTGTCGGGTATGCATTGGATTTTTACGTGATAATTCACGAAAATTCCACGGTACATACATTTTTAGGCGTTATTAAATATATAGAAAATCAGAAATTGTATACTACATATTTATTAAATAAAGTTCGGTTAAAAATAGTGTCGTTCTTTTAATTAGAAATTAGGAGTCAATGTAACGAATATCCTCAGGCGATGCACATGATAGAATAGTCCAACTCACGCTCCATTCATAACAGGGCTGCAGTTTGAATTCTGACCAATACGCGCCATTATTCCATGGCTAGAAATTGGCCTCAATGATTTGGGATCGAGGGGGATTATCCCTCTTTATCCTGCCTCATCTCGTGTAGGCCTGGACAGCCTTCGTAGGTGGGCCCCATCCGTCGTCTACCCCGACCGCAAANAGAGTTCACAACTGTCTCCTGTCTCCAGAATTCTGTATAAGCAAGCTTTGTATTACGAGAAGAAAGCTTCCATACTCTCCAAACGGAAAATGGATTGACAACGTAAAATCCAAACTATCGAAAAATGGTCAAAAGAAAAATGCTTTCAAGATTTGACCAAACAATTTAACCATCCTGCAGTTCACTTTTTCAAAAGACAGGTTGAATCATTTGGCAAAAAGGCTAAAGGGAGAAGATTTGACATTGAAGATAAAATTCTTGCCCTTGCCCTTTACAAGCAGAGTAACGCAGCATACAAATTACTATCCTCTTTGTTTATTTTACCTTCAAGAGTAACTTTACAAAAAGTGTTGTCAAGAATTCCCATTTCTTCGGGAATTCATGATGCTGTTTTTAAAGTTTTAAGTTCAGCTAGTAAAAAAATTAAACCCCACAATAAGTACTGTGTACTAATGTTTGATGAAAAGTCAGTTGAGCCTAATTTACATTATAATCAATTTCTGGATGAGGTTGATGGCCTTGAAGATTTTGTCGGGGGAAAAGTTTGAAAAAATTGCAAATCGTGTTCAGGTAAGGCAGCCATAAGTACGTCATATACCAGGTGACCACTAGATTACTACCCAAGCTCTACCTTAGGCACGAAAAAAGATATTGATTTAAAATTTTTGTCATGCGTATCATTGAATTTGATGCAAAATTTAATTATAAAAATAACTGACTGCCACTTGCTATTTGACCGGAAATGCCCTAAACTTTGTTATTTCATATGGAATACCCTGTATATTATTTTTGTTTTCAATTCTGCTGAAGAAACTAACACTAAAATATGTATTATGTCCTATACCTATCTTTGTCAGTTTCCGAGAAAATTGCGCTTTAAAATGGCAAATTTGTCATTTATAAATTCCTTTTGAAAGAAAACAAACGAAGAAAGGGACAATATATGATATCTTTAACTTATTTTAGAAGTACTAAAGTCTGATATCATAAAAATGTTGCACTTCCGGCACATCCGGAATAGATATTTTAATGAAACAAAAAAAATATTTAAAAAGAAATGATAATATATCCAAAGCTTTATAAAAAATGTTTTTTATATTGCAAGAGGGTACACACTTAAAATAGAATCTTTATTTTATAAGATTTGTATGCAAGATCACATATAAATAAAATACTTATAAGGTTTGTTCCAACGGTTGCGGTTGCAGGTAGTTTGTGAATTGTCAATTTCCGCAGTTGATTGTTGTGATCTTTTAAAATATACATTTTATTTTAATAATGATGAGTACTAACATTTTGAAGTGAAATAATACTTTTTATCGGATTTGTTAATATATAAGCTGATACAATTTAATATCTAGAGATGTTAGTAGATAGACAATAGTAGTTTCTCTGCATTTTGCTTGGTACTCGTAAAATTGTTATTTCAATCAGTTAATTATATTAATTAATAAATAAAGATTGCATGGCTTGGACATAATTATATTCTTTATGATTAATCCCTGGCCATAAAATAACTTCATTTTGAGTTCCGACAATTTGAAAATGGCCTACAGCTGTTAGAACAATCTTATAAATTTGTTATGTTATGCAAATATAAGAAAATTGGTAGTACATAATATATTTTTACTCTGAATAATTTAGATAAGTAAGTCTTAATATTAAATATGTCCTTTCCGTTGTAATAAACCATTTCTAGTTTATATAATAAATTGTTTTGTATTTCATAAAATATTTTTTTATTCCTTTAAACAAATGGGGTTCTGGTATGTTTATGCTATATTTAAAAGCTTAACTATATATATTAAAGTATGGACAATTTAAACAAGGTAGATTTCTTTACTTTAATATATATTTAAACTTTTAAATATGAAGGAAAAATATTTAATAATAATTAAGACCCATGGGCAACCATAAATACTGCACTTAAATTAGGCAACCAAATGTACATATGCATGTGTACGGTCGTCTACATTATGCATTAGTTAGGCTTCCAAATCACCAGAGGCGCTGTGGTAATGGTTTATTGGATTATTTAGGGAGATTTCGTTCTATCTTGTATATTATTTTTTCTATGAACTTCAGTTAATGCGGTTTGAGTTTTTATCTAGGGTTTGAGAAATTATTTAAATAAGATAATATTAGTTACATCAATATGTGTGTAATTTAAGCAAGATATTTATTTTAAATTCATTAATTNGGTGTGGTACTCCTCGCCTTTGTCTGTCAGTGTCTTTGTCAATAGTCTGTGGTCATTAGGTGTGTTTGGGTATATGGCTATACCGTCTTTAGTCAGTTTGGCTTTTGTGTAGTTAATGTTAAGTGTCGTGAGTATTTTTTGTACTTGCGTCCACCGTTTTTGCTTTCGCTTTAGCGTCTCGTTTTCATGTTTTTGTGATAGTAGCTGTTCGTATAAATCTGTTTTAGTGGTCATGTTTTTTGGTGAAGCGGAGACCCTTGAAGACGGTCTTTCCCTGTCTGTATCGTCCTTGTATATGTATATGTTTTCTTCTTTTTCGTAGTCCGACATTTTGCGCGCGTGTGTGTGTGTGTGTGAGGGTGTATACGTGTCAGTCGTGTGGTGATGCCCCCTTACAGGGGGGTACGTGTCTTTTGGTGTATTTGTCTGTCTGGTATGTTGTTTGTCGGGGGTCGCAATTTTAAATAAATGTATTCTAAAATAATGCAAATAACTGATAAATAATGTAAAAACTTACCTGGGCATAACCCCGGCACAGGTACCTGTAACAAAGATGCCGACGGCCTCTATGCTTTGCCGGGGATTAGGTCGGTGGTTAAGAGGAAAGAAAGGGATTCTTTCCAGGTAGCCTTAATAAAGGCAGGTAGATCTTGCTCGTTGCAATGCACTTCACGTCACAATAAACACGTCCGCTCAGTTCGGCCGCTCGCTCGAGGATCACAGAATCAATGGCCAGACACAATGAGGGAGCTAGCTGTTCTCTTAAATGTCTGTCGTGTTTCAATGTTGGTATTATGAAAATGACCTTCTCCTTCTTGTATTATACAATGTTTTGTGTGACTACGTGTTCTTGTCATAGAAAATGGAATATTAACATAGAATGAAATCTGATATACAACAACCTATACCATTTGCATACCTAACATTCCACTGTAACTTCGGCTTCCATATCGTAAGATGGTGCTATTTAGTTTTTGTGATTTCAAACGCAGGTAATGCAGGTATCATTTTGTTTTGATTTTGACCCTTGTTTATGTACTTTTGACGTTTGTCATATGTTAATACGTTTGTCTGCCAAATAAAAAGTTATATAGTTAAACCACAGCAAAATTAAACCTGATGGCCGTATATTTATGTCAACACCAAATAATCCTGGTCCATCAACCAGTTCTACCTTTGTACATTTTGGTAAGTATATTTTCATGAATACAGAGTTTAAGTAGTCAACATTCATGTATTTTAATTTTCATAAAAAGCATATTTTAGTATCACATTTAGCTGTATTTCTATTTTAGGTGATGAAAATAATGAATTGGGTGCAATTCAGTACCGTCAGACATCTGAAAATTCTCAAATAAGGTTAAATGATCCTGTAGCACGCAGTATGTAATATTAATGAGTTAATGTAATATCAGTTTTTATTTGCCGTTTTTTCAGAACATGGTTTGTTGAAAAATGTTGGTGTACATAAGAGTTCACAACTGTCTCCTGTCTCCAGAATTCTGTATAAGCAAGCTTTGTATTACGAGAAGAAAGCTTCCATACTCTCCAAACGGAAAATGGATTGACAACGTAAAATCCAAACTATCGAAAAATGGTCAAAAGAAAAATGCTTTCAAAATTTGACCAAACAATTTAACCATCCTGCAGTTCACTTTTTCAAAAGACAGGTTGAATCATTTGGCAAAAAGGCTAAAGGTAGAAGATTTGACATTGAAGATAAATTTCTTGCCCTTGCCCTTTACAAGCAGAGTAACGCAGCATACAAATTACTATCCTCTTTGTTTATTTTACCTTCAAGAGTAACTTTACAAAAAGTGTTGTCAAGAATTCCCATTTCTTCGGGAATTCATGATGCTGTTTTTAAAGTTTTAAGTTCAGCTAGTAAAAAAATTAAACCCGACAATAAGTTCTGTGTACTAATGTTTGATGAAAAGTCAGTTGAGCCTAATTTACATTATAATCAATTTCTGGATGAGGTTGATGGCCTTGAAGATTTTGTCGGGGAAAAGTTTGAAAAAATTGCAAATTATGTTCAGGTAAGGCAGCCATAAATACGTCATATACCGGGTGACCACTAGATTACTACCCAAGCTCTAGCTTAGGCACGAAAAAAGATATCGATTTAAAATTTTTGGCATGCGTATCATTGAATTTGATGCAAAATTTAATAAAAACAACTGACCGCCACTTCCTATTTGACCGAAAATGCCATAAACTTTGTTATTTCATATGGAACTCCTTGTATATTATTTTTGTTTTCAATTCTGCTGAAGAAACTAACACTAAAATATGTATTATGTCCTATACCTATCTTTGTCAGTTTCCGAGAAAATTGCGCTTTAAAATGGCTAATTTGTCATTTATAAAATCCTTTTGAAAGAAAACAAACGAAGAAAGGGACAAAGTTATATGGTATCTTTAACTTATTTTAGAAGTACTAAAGTCTGATATCATAAAAATGTTGCACTTCCGGCACATCCGGAATAGATATTTTAATGAAACGAAAAAAATATTTAAAAAGAAATGATAATATATCCAAAGCTTTATAAAAAATGTTTTTTATATTGCAAGAGGGTACACACTTAAAATAGAATCTTTATTTTATAAGATTTGTATGCAAGATCACATATAAATAAAATACTTATAAGGTTTGTTCCAACGGTTGCGGTTGCAGGTAGTTTGTGAATTGTCAATTTCCGCAGTTGATTGTTGTGATCTTTTAAAATATACATTTTATCTTAATAATAATGAGTACTAACATTTTGAAGTGAAATAATACTTTTTATCGGATTTGTTAATATATAAGCTGATACAATTTAATATCTAGAGATATTAGTAGATAAACAACAGTAGTTTCTCTGCATTTTACTTGGTACTCGTAAAATTGTTATTTCAATCAGTTAATTATATTAATTAATAAATAAAGATTGCATGGCTTGGACATAATTATATTCTTTATGATTAATCTCTGGCCATAAAATAACTTCATTTTGAGTTCCGACAATTTGAAAATGGCCTGCAGCTGTTGGAACAATCTTATGAATTTGTTAAGTTATGTAAATATAAGAAAATTGGTAGTACATAACATATTTTTACTCAGAATAATTTAGATAAGTAAGTCTTAGTATTAAATATGTCCTTTCCGTTGTAATGAACCATTTCTAGTTTATATAATAAATTGTTTTGTATTTCATAAAATATTTTTTTATTCCTTTAAACAAATGGGGTTCTGGTATGTTTATGCTTTTCCTTTATATTTAAAAGTTTAAATATATATATTAAAGTATGGACAATTTAAACAAGGTAGATTTCTTTACTTTAATATATATTTAAACTTTTAAATACAAAGGAAAAATATTTAATAATAATACCCATGGGCAACAATAAATACTGCACTTAAATTAGGCAACCAAATGTACATATACATATCTGCGGTTGTCTACATTATGCATTAGTTAGGCTTCCAAATCACCAGAGGCGCTGTGGTAATGGTTTAGTGGATTATTTAGGGAGATTTCGTTCTATCTTGTATTTTATTTTTTCTATGGTTCTTGTCAATTCGTCAATTGCAAGTGTGGTACAAAAAAAGCAATTAATAAGTTTTATATTCTACTCGAAATGTCTTTATTAATTGAATCTGATGATATTAAGGATAAAAATGAAAATAAAGCGGAAGAAATGAATCAAATTGAGGCAATACCTCTATTAGACAAAATGATGACTTGGGAAGATCTGGTAAGTTAATCTACCACGTGTGAGATTTAACCTCGGCTATTGTAATTGATAAAATTTAGGGTCTTGTAGATGTCCTGTGTAAAGCTTGTGATCAATTGAAATGGAAAGAGCCTTCTAAAATACAGAAAGAATCGATACCCTTGGCATTGCAAGGAAAGGATATAATAGGATTAGCAGAAACTGGTTCCGGAAAAACGGCTGCATTTGCTTTGCCTATATTACAAGCTTTGTTACAAAATCCTCAGAGATATTTTGCTTTAATTTTGACACCTACTAGAGAATTAGCTTTTCAAATTTCGGAGCAGTTTGAAGCACTAGGTATTTTTTTATTAGTAACTGTTTAGTATGGGAGCTGATAGAAAAAAAAATATGTACAATTATGATGCTCAGGTATTTGTAGGTTTTATGTATATACAAGGTGACATGGAAAAAAGTGCAATGCATAGCACCACATGATAGAGGAACTCAAGACATATAAAAAGTTTCTATACATTTATGTCTAAATTTCTTCCCGAGGTAATGGCCCAAAATTCATGGGTAAATTCCCGAACCTAAAATATTGCGATTTAGCCGAACTTACCTAAGTTGATAGTTAAAGAGATATAGGGTGTTAAACGTAAAATATTATGTTTGTTTTTTTTCATTTATTAATAAATGCAAATCTTCACACAAAATTTTGGGGCTTGGGGTTCTTTGGGTCAAGGAATTGAAATCTGTTCACATTTTTGATACAATTCATAGAGAGCGCTAGCTGCAGTAGATTTAATGTGTTAAAAACGACATAACTTTTTTATACTTTGATATCTCATTTTTGGTATCAAATTCTTATTTTCCAACTTTTTTTACACAAATGAGGTATACTTTATGAATGTGGCTGTTTCGCACCGTTTTCAAGAAATTTAGCTTTGAAACTTTTAATGCAGATGCATTAAATTACAACTAAATTCCTAAAATTCCTAAAATTCCTAGCGGTAAAATTTGTTACGTAGGTTTTGGATGAAAATCAAATAATTGACGTTTTCCACTTGTTTTACTGCTGTCATTTGTATGCTACTCTCCATTCAGTATTATTCGTACTTAATTAAAATTATATCTTGGCTTACAATTTAAATTGTATGTACATAAAAGTGAGATAGAATGTCGAGATATAATATATTTTCAAACGAAGAAATGCGCGATATGGTCTGCGTTTATGCGCAAACAGATTTTGTTGGGTGTAAAGCGCATCGTCGGTGTTTAGAGTTATATCCAAATAGAAGGCAACCAAATCGAAAGCTATTTCAAGACTTTTTTTATCGACTTGGAGAGACTGAGTACTTTTCGTCCTAAAAGGTACAATGTGGGACACATCAGGCACACGATTACAGTAGACCAAGAAGAAATTTTAACTCGGGTGGCAGAGAATCCAGAAGTTAGTAGTAGGCAAATAACTAGAACCACCGGTGTAAATAAAACAACAGTCCTAAAAATCTTTCATAAGGAAAAGATGTATCCCTACCATTTTACACCAGGTCAAAATCTTTTACAAGCAGATCTCCCAGGTAGATTACAGTTTGCGCATTTTATACGCACTCGGCAAAACCTTAACCGTTAATTTTTAAATCATGCTATTTACCGACGAAGCCACCTTTACCCATCAAGGAGTTTTCAATTTTAGAAACAAACACATATGGGACAATGAAAATCCTTACCCAGTCACTGACCGTCACTTTCAACGAGAATTCAAAAGAAATGTTTGGTGCGGAATTATAGGAAACCACCTTCTGGGTCCACATGAACTTCCTCTGAATTTGAACGGTAACTTATATTTAGATTCCCTGCAACATCATTTATTTAATTTGATTTACCATTAAAGGACCCCGCACAAAATGAATGGAAATTGGATCCTGCTAGATTTGGCTGAAATTGTAATATGTATGTTATAGTTCTCGACATTCTGATGAAAAGTTGTCATGGGCCCAAAGTGATCCTATTAGTCCACAGTACAGGCCCCCTCTGGAAAGTTGATTACCACATACCTTATAACTCCTGAGGGCTTCGTTTTGACGAGTCTACCACATTTTTTCTCTGCGACTTTTCTTGATTCCTCTGCTTTTCCACTCGGAAAAGTCCAAAAACATGACAATTTCCCAGGGTCTTGAAAAGTCAAGACCACATCTTTTATTTTTAGTAACTGGAAATTTTATTGCAAATGCCGATTTAAATTTGTCCGACAGAAATTCTTCCGACATTGACGTGTCTACCGGTCGAAACATGCCAAAATAACAGGGTATTGAAAATCAATTACCACATATGTAATTTTTAGTAAAATTAATTGTAAATAATTAATTCAGTCAAAAAGTATTGTTGTCCGACAAATTTCAAACCGCGTTTTTTCAGTCCGACAGCTGGAAATCGGAATTTTCATGGGGTATGAAAAATCGATTACCACATATCTAATTTTATTTTTTCCACTTTTAAATTTACTGTACAAAATAGTGATATAAGTGTCCAACGATTTAATGTCCGTAAATTATTAAAAAAATCAATAAATCGATAATCATGATGAAATTTAATTTTTTCACTCCAAAAATTTCATATTTATAAATGTTTATTAATTATTATTATGTAAATTATTATTTGTTTCAAACAAATAATTATAATATTGCTCATTTTATGCTTAAAAATTTAAAAGTTATAAACAAATGAAGTTATTTTTGAGACGATTAATACTATCTTAGTGCATAATGCATTATTTCTAAATAAATTAATATTATGCTTGATATAAAAATCCGTTTTTCTCTTTCAAGTTTTCATTCGCGTTTGTTATTTTCCTTTACAAAAATTTTCCTATTTTTCTAAAAGAAAATTCTAAACTTTTGTGCATAATTTTTTTACACTATACATACTTTTTTGAAATCGTTTAATTCTTTTCTCGATATTTATTTGGCTAAATTGAGCATAAGAGATTTACAATTACAAGAATAAAATGAAAAATATATATAAGGTGTTTCAGAAAGACCTCCCGTAAATAAAGGGGGTGATAGTACAAACGACAAAAAAAATGAGAATTTTTTGTCTTATGAACTATATGTCTATCTCCTCTTGTTTTCGAGATACAGACAAAATAAAATTTTTTAAATAGAATTTTTACAAAAATTTCCAAACGGTGCGAAATATTTTTATGAAATTTGGTAGTCCGGGGTTTTTAAGGGTGCCAAATACGCTAGCCTAATTATTTTTTGTATATTTCATAGAGGGCGCTAGTTATGCTACATTCTTATTACATTTTAAGTTCTATTTTTTTTAAGGTTAGGTTTTTTACCATTCGGGCTCCAATTTCTATTGTACAATTTTATTTCCTAAAAATAATGTACTCTTGTTAGAACTTTCTAATGTGGACGATTTTCGAGAAAAAAGGCTTTTAATTAAACTTACAATATTACACTATAAAATAAGTGACTTTTCTCAAAGTAAGCTTGAGCTTTGAGAAAAGTCACTTATTTTATACAACAAAAAATTCTTATTTTTTGTCGTCCTCACCCCCTGTATTTACGGGAGGTCTTTCTGAAACACCCTGCATTGTATATTTATATGGAATTTTGCTTAATACATGAAAATACTTTATTAGAAATTATAAATACATGTGCACATTTTTTATGAAATTTTTTTCATAATTTTTTGTTGGACTGACGATTTGCGGATATATTTTTGTCGGACATTACAATTTTTGCTTATAAAAAACACTTTTCTATCGTGTGTTATTTTTGTCCGACATGTGGTAATCGATATATCATACCCCGTGAAAATTCCGATTTCCAGCTGTTGGACTGAAAAAACGCGGCTTGAAATTTGTCGGACAACAATACTTTTTAACTGAAACTAATTATTTACAATTAATTTTACTAAAAATTACCCATGTGGTAATTGATTTTCAATACCCTGTTATTTTGGCATGTTTCGACCAGTAGACACGTCAATGTCGGAGGAATTTCTGTCGGACAAATTTAAATCGGCATTTGCAACAAAATTTCCAGTACTGAAGCTAAAAATAAAAGATGTGGTCTTGACTTTTCAAGACCCCGGGAAATTGCCATGTTTTTGGACTTTTCCGAGTGGAAAAGCGGAGGAATCGAGAAAAGTCACAGAGGAAAAATGTGGTAGACTCGTCAAAACAAAGCTCCTCAGGAGTTATAAAGTATGTGGTAATCAACTTTCCAGGGGGGGCCTGTACTGTGGACTATATGGATAGTTTCAGAGATATAGAGGGGGGAAGTGTGTGATTTTGTCTGTAGGACTGAGTAAGCTTCACGAAGTTTCAAGTTGATGCATTGAAAAACTGAGGCATGTAATGAATTTTGACCAGTAGGTACATTGCTTATACTTATAAGGTCACCTGCGGGGCTTGAATTGAGATTAAGTCAAAGGAAATGACCTTGACTTGAAATCCAGGTGACAAGAGCTAAGCTATCCGCGAATTCAGGTTCAGAGACCTCAAAAGCATACATACTTACAGGTTAACATTCGTGAAAGGCCTTTTCATTCCTTTGACCTTGAAATGATCTTGACTTGACCTAAATGTGACCTTGTAGGGCTAAACTATCCCCAAATTCATTCCCCCCCCCCCAACAAAAAACATACGCACTGGTTGAAACTCTATACAAGCCTTTTCTTTAGTTTTATCTTGAAATGACCTTGAATTGACTTGAAGGTAACTTTTAGGGTTACGCTATCTCCAGATTCAGATTCTGCGAACTCAAAAAACCATACACTCGCTGGTCCAAATTAAATACAAGTCTTTTCTTCAGTTTGACCTTGAAACGACCTTTACCTGACCTCCAGGTGACCTTAGATAGCTAAACTATCCAAGAATTTAGGTTCAGCGATCCCAAAAGCATTGTACCTACGGGTCATAATTCATTACATGCCTTAGTTTTTGAATCCATCAACTTGAGACTTCGTAAAGGTTAATCAGTCCAACAGCCAAAATCACACACTTCCCCCCTCTATATCTCTGAAACTATCCATAGGATCACTTTGGGCCCATGACAACTTTTCATCAGATTGTCGAGAACCATAATATATCACAAATTCAGTCGAATCTAGCGGGACCCAATTTCCATTCATTTTGTGCGGGACCCTTTATGGCAGAATCTCGATTTCTTCCAAGATGGTGTAGCAATTATTGTCAGAAGAGATATTTTTTACTAATGTTTACTATTTTACTGTTCATTACAATTTTTAATTCTAAATAAACCCTTGTTTTTGACATTTCTAAATTATTTTAATTATTTAACTATTAGCATTGAAAGTTTCAAAGCCAAGTATACCATTGTGTA